AACTTAAATATTCTATCCCATGTGGTAGTCTCAAGTTTCATGATAAAGTAGACCATTTAGTGATACATCATGATGTCATTTCCAGAGGAATAAGGTCAGTTCTTGGAACAAAATTTATAACAAAACTTCCATGAGTGTTTTAGTTTTACCAGAATCCAGTCTATCAGTTTGGAGGCTTCTTTTTGCATTTCTGTTTCATTCATATTTCTAACTACTGTTTAAAACTTTTTGAAAATAATCACTTAGATTACAGAAAAGTAAGCAAAAATGTATCACAGAAAAAAAGTATTTTTCAGGGGTCTAAATTAAATTTGAAAGTACATCACACTTCTAATTTGAGAATTAAATATGTAAAAGAGAGACAGATGAAAGAAAACAAAACTTAGAAACTGAGTTCTAATTTTGTCTCTGCCATGTTCATTGTGCAACTGCAGACAGCATACTTAACACCTCAAGGCTTCGGTTTCTTCCTTTGAAAATGCATTACACTACCACAGTGGAATGGAACGTCCATTTTGCAACTTTAAAACCATTGAAAACAAAAAGTGCCATATAAACATAAAATAACATTTCCTTATAACAGATTGATTTGGGGTTATTTTACCTGCTACTTTTAAAGTAAATTTTGTTAAATGGAGAAAAAAAAAATCCCAATTCATGACTGTTTCTTAAACTTGGCTTCATGTGTCTGGAATGCAATGACAGAGTTGTTGATTTTTGAAGATGTGAAATGCAGCAAAAACAAGAGGATAAAGTCTGAACTCCTATTGATTAAGGTACATAAGGTGTAGTGGGGTAAAAATAAATAAAGACAACTAGTTAAGTTTTCAGGATCTGAAGGTACTGTTATTTTGAGTTGAAGAAGCAGATGAATACAGTTTCCAAACTATAACAATGCCATCACAAGTTACATATCCCTTCCAAAAGAGTTCTAGATTTAAAGAAAACAATGACAAATATGAAAGGCATTTTAGACTCCTTTGAAAAAGCAACTTTTATGAATATATTTAAAAAATAAAACTGCTTGCACATAGACCCTAAAAAAAATGTCCACTGATGGGAAGAAGGAGGAGGCAAGTGAACAAGTCAGAAAAATCTAATATTTACAGGTCCTTTTACGGTTTTCTTCCATGTACCATGATGATTTTGTCCTAAGTAGCAGCAGTCGAGGACTTCTTCACTAGAGCAGGAGCAGATACACTGGATGCATTCTCAAAAACCCCAACCAGTTTTAAAGGAATCTGACTTGTGAAAGCAGTAATTTATCCAAACCTCGGGCATCCAACTTCTACAACTGTAAAGTGAAAGTATACGCCCATATACCCTGGAAAAAAATTTTTCATTTTTAATCTTTGTGGGTACACAGTAGGTGTAATATTTATGGATTACAGGAAATATTTTGACATAGGCATGCACTGTGAAATCACATCAGGGTAAACAGGGTATCCATCACGTCAAGCATTTCTCCTTTGTATTTCTTTTGAATAATATTTATATCATCTTTCCCCCTTTATATTTAGAAAATATTCAATAAATAGTAAGAAAAGAGCAGGTATAGTTCTATTTCTGACTACCCTGCATCCCCTGTTCAAGCAGCTTTGAGGGTATTTAAAAAGATTTTTATCAATATTCTAGATAATGCCCTAAAGTAGACCTCTATTAACTCAAAGAAAATTTCAAATATATACGCCACATTGTTTAGAAGTGAAAATATTTTAGGAAAGCTTATTACTTGAAGAGAAGGAAAACATGTTGGTATTGCATGAATTAGAAGCATACATTACAACAACAAAGGGACAGCAGCAATAGAACAAAGTTGAGCTTGTTTAATAAAAACTGCTTACTCATTCATTCATTCTTTACAGTCAAAACCCTTTTCACAAAAAGGCTATCATGAACAAATCACGGAGGTGGAATTTCCAAACAAAGAGGTAGTATTTGACCTTCCTAATTTTTAGAATAGCTACCTAAACTGCATCTATAATTCATTAGGATCCAGGTAATTTAGAGTTTTTACATACTTCAAATATGTCAGAAATTTTGTGTTCCTTTATTCAGAATGGTTTGCCTTGAAAACACTGAGTTAAGAATTTAAAGAAACTCTAAAATTTTCCTAGAGATTTTGTACAAAATGTGCTAGAAACTGTTTTTAAAAATATGAAGACAAGAAAGAAAAGTCACAGTATATTCTTGAGGAGAAATAACAAAGGACATAATAATAATTTTAAAAGACGAAATTCCTAAGGGCTTCAGAACTTAACAACATATGAGGTTCAAGCATATTTCTATCACCTTTCTCACTCTCCTGTTTCATGGCTTATATCCTCTTCCATTTAGGATTACCAGACAACCTCCGTATCACCCACTACTCGTCCACTGAGCAGATGTGTTGAGATAATGTGAAAACCATGCCTTCACTCCTAATCACTTAACACAGTCTTGGGATAACAGAAACCCTACTCCAGTTGGCCAGTGAATGTACCTCTATTTCTACATTCGGGATGCTTTGTTGCTGCCATTCCTATCATTTCCACTGGCTTTTAATCACACTTTTAAATAGTTAATTCATCAGACTCAGTAATTTTGTGACTGTCCCTTTTTCCTTTGAGACTTCAGTGATTACGTCAGAAAACATCTTACTCATTTTACTCAGTTGTCTTCATTTGAAGTTTAGATGGGGGTAGTTTAGCTGTTGTTTTGTTAACATATGCTGATTCTATTTAATACAGTAATTTAAAAAAATGTGCTACACCTTGTTTTCAAGCAATAATGTCCCTCTACTTCTTTCTTCTTATGTGTACAAAATTCATTATGTATTTTCTGATTGTGACTAGAACCAAGAAAACCTTTAAGTCCTCCCCAAGAGGAACAATGAAAGGGCTCTAAGGAAATATAATTTAAATAAGAAAGAACTAGCTAGATTGGTTTCCATGTATGTAATAATAAGTTGGAGCTTTAGGTCACACTAACCATGTTTCCAATATTGAAAGAAAATTCATATACCTTGAGACCTGGTTATTAGAGAACATGGCTTAGTTCCAGGTTAAGAGTGTTGCAGAACAAGAAAACCACTGCCTATTAGCCTTATCTGAAATTAACAGTAATTTAAATTTTGAAAAATTATTAGGAGATGATTTACTAGTTTTAAAATTGTTATTGAAGGATGGATCTAATTTATATATGATTTAAATAATGTGCACATCTATGGAAAGCTAACATAACAGGCTAATATTATAAGGCTCTCTCCTCCCTGGTGAAAATAATAAACGGAAAAGAAAATGCTGGAAATGATTAAAGATGCATGCATCAAGAGGAAGGACAGCTGCCCATAGTTCAAAAAGCATTGCTCTAGCTCTGTTGGTATGAACTGCTGACTCAATCCCTTGATGTAGATTCACTAATCCGTTTACCTGCCAAACACATCCTTGTTCTTCCTGCCTGAGACTGGACTCACCTCTGCTACTACGAGGTAAAAGTGGCTCAGAGGCAGGTGGAATAATGATTAGTTGCAATAAATACTGTAAGTAGAATTGAACAAAGCCTGAAATCTGAGCTTCAAAAAACTATTTGAATATCAGCATTCTAAGTCATCCAGTGAAACTGAATTTAATATAAGCAAAGATAATTACAGTTACAGACATTTGAAAAGAAAGATTCATGAAATAAATTCATTAATACAGTATGAAGAAAATATGCCCTTCTACTAATGCATAATAACCTGGGAATTTGGGCCTGCACACTGGCAAAGAGATGTGAATTTTGGCTGCTCCAAAATATATGACTGTCCCTGAGAAGAAGGGCCCAAAACAACTTAAGCCACTTCCAAGATAGGCATTTCCTCTTTTTCAGAATGTGTATTAATGTATAACAAATGCAAGAAACAGGAATATTCTAATTATTAGCACATTAATGTTTTAAGACTTTCATATTCTAGTTATACGGATATGGTGATTCATAGCTATTCACAATTTAAAAGTTTTATTTAAATAAGTAGATGTAATTAAAAGGAATATGCACTATTTCAAAAAAGCAAGATTAGTGCGGACAAAACAATTAAATAAACAGCATGAGAGTAAGTCTTTCAAAAGAGACAGATAGCAAAGACTGTTTCATTTTGAAAACTTGTCATTTCCCTGCAAATAGATAATGAATGTCAAAATGCCTATTCAAACCCTCACAATAAAATAAAATAACTTTTTTTCCCCACCAAATCCACGACTCTAAATATCTCGAGTGGAAAATGTTTCACATATAAGTATATTAATTACGGAATTCAAAGTAATTATTATATTCAAATACAAATAGTTCAATACTAACAGTAGTGTTCAAATACAAATAGTTTATTGTGCCAGTTTATTCTTGTGGCCCTCACTAACTCTTATATGTATATAAGCACAACTAATTCATCATAAGAAGACCTTTCTTGTTGCTTTCTTGTATTAGTTTAGTTTTAGTTCAGCTTATTAGACAGACTCAAGTAGAAAATGCACCTGTAAACAGTTCTTCATCCTAAGATCCAGCGGAAGGAGAACATATACAGGCAACAGTTTTTGAGGCATTAAAAGTAGCAGCCTCAGGAGGGATAAACACAGACTAGGAAAGTTCACACTACATATTGTGAAGCGTTAATTGAAGAATGTTTATTTGGCACAAGAGACCCCCCTTTTTTGTACATTCCATAAGATGGTGGTGTCATGTGTATATGGCTATGACACCTTGCAGCAATGCATTCTTCAAAACAATTTCCAAATGATTTTAATTACTTTTCTTCCAATACTATGCGGTATTCTTACACTCAGTTCAATCTATGTTTTGGAACACTAGGCGCTGACAATGTATTTTCAAACAGATTAGATATCTTTCTACAATACTGAAAAACAGACCTCATATATAAACTCAGTTCACTGCAAAAGATTGCTATGCATGCACACGTGCACATGTGTCAACTGCCCAAGGGAAGAAGTGGTAAAATGGGATATTTTCTTATGTGTAATACTTACTTTTCTTGGTTTTCAGGAAATACAAAGCCCGAAGCCTTTCTCTTATCCAACTGAACAAGAAAATTAGCAAAGAAATTAATCTAAGTCAACTACAGAGGCAAGAGAACCACATAAACATATAAGGAAGATTTTTTTTTCCCCCAAGGAAAAACATTAGTGTCCACTGTTGAAAACATTACAATTAATCATTTTAAGTAAGAGCTCCTAGTACTGATGCACAAGGTTGGCGATTTTAACAGCCAGTGAGTAAATGAGAACATCAAAAATGTTAAGGTTGGAGTAGTCTCAGAGTAAATCCCTTAGAACATTGAAGACTGGGAAAATCTGAAAAAACATGGGAGTCTTGTATTAGTCTTAATAGTTCAAAGTAAAACTTGACTTTTTAAGTACACATTAAACTTGATTTAAGCATTATGGAATGAAAGTTGCTAGATTCCGACACACAAAAAATTTTTCCTTTAATTGACTATTTTACAATACAATCCATAATTTTCCACTTCTTAAATATTAACGTTAGGTTTCACAACAGCAGTCAATCATTAGAGGAAGTAACTGGATATCATGAATGCCTTTCAAATTTAAAAGATCTAGATTCTCTTTCTAAAGCTTTCCTTGAGAAAAAGAAAAATAACAAACCTGCTTTCAGGCAAGTGACAAAAGAATATCGTAAAGTTATAAACGCACAGTATTAAACGTGGACAGAAACCTCAGAACCATCTAAAAGGAAACCCTAAAAATCTCGTCATCTATATTCTATAAAAGAAATTTAAGAACCTAAAGCAATGATTAAGTAGAATCTATAATCAAATTAAAATTGGATCTATAATCAAATTAACATTTGATCTATAATCAAATTAAAAACAAACCATTCTGTTTGATGAAAAGTGTTAAGATTTTTTTTAAATATACATTTTATGAATCTAGGCTACAAAATATTTGGCCATAGATATCACAGGCTGACAATGCAGGAGGCAATTCACTACTCAAGTAACTCTTTCCTAATTCTATTTAATATTTTATGCACCGTTCCACAGGCACAGTTTTAGGTTCAGGTTGAAATAGTTATTATTTAGAATTTTATATTCACTTTTTAACTTTCAATCTTGAACATATACAATAACTCTTTTGATGTTTAAATTATAATACTTAGAACAGTTAAAACATTTTTCATATATATTTTTTCACACTTGTTCCCCAAATTATTTTTTTAAAGGCCATCACATTCCACACATACCCCACAAGAAGAACTTGAGGGTAGAAAGTTAATTAAAAATGGGTAAAGGTAAGTATGAGTGGTAAGGAGTAGGCACCATCTTGAGTGGTATCGAGGGGGCATATCAGACTAACAAGCCACATTGGTTTTAAATCAAAATCTTACTCAGAATGTTGCAGATACACTCCCTCCTAACTCTTGATGTCCCTCCACTAACCTACAGACATAGATAAATTCTCTTTGCAGATCTCATTTTGTAATGTATTATATCTTCTATAGATTATTAGTAAAGGCAAGACACTTAATTTATTCTTCCTGAGAATGATAAAACTCACAAATGCCTAGAATAAGTAGCTTTAGTATTAGGAAAACACCATCCAAGTAACATCCAGGAACTGACAATTTTTAATTGGCAGAATGGCATAAGGAAATAGACACATTTTGGGGAAAGCATGTTTCTAGATATTTTCACTTTTTTTTCTTTATAGAGACAGGGATCTTGCTATGTTGCACAGCCTGGGCCCCATGCATGTGCAGTTGGGAGGCACTTTCGCCCATTGGGGGGACCTCTGTTGCACTGTTTTTTTTCCTCCCACACCACACAGGTGCCTCGACCTCCCCTTTCAAGCCTTCCTGCTGCTTTGGGCTGGCCCCTGTGGGCCTGAACCAAGGACGCCCAGCATCCCGAGCCCCACGCAGGCGCGATTGGGAGGCACTTTCGCCCGTGGAGGGGATCTCTGCCTGGTCTCAAATTTCTGGCCTCAAGGGATCCTCCTGCCTTGACCTCCCAAAGTGCAGGGATTGATTACAGGCATGAGACAGCATGCCCAGCCTGTTTGTAGCTTTTGATCCCATGAAACTAACTTGTTTTACTAACCCTATCTCATATGAAGAATGGACTAGAATTTCATGCTTTAAGAATCAGTCAATTAAGTATAAAATTCACTTTTAATAGAAAATGACAATAGGCAATGACAAAAACCATTTATCCAAAAATATTTTATTTAAATATTTACATAAAGACAAGTTTTATAAGCAAGACGGAAATATATCCAGGGTTTGTTCTGTGGCAAACACATACTTCCATACCTTCCATGTCTATAATTTATAAGAGATGGATTGTTAAAAGCAAGATTATGACCTCAAGTTAATATGCGATCAAAATGAAAAGTAAATGTTACATTTGATTCCTCCTAGAATATGAAGCTGAAAGATAAAGATTTTTCTCAAACAACATTGAAGCAGTATGCCTATCTGATGAAACTGTGATCAAATATGCCTTGCAAGAGGTGTTAATACATAAGGACAATGTAAGAAAAAAAAAGCCCACAAGATTTATAATGAAATCACAGTAAATAGATAATTGGACTTCACTACAATTAACTTGCTTTATTACAGTAGAAATTTTAGTTATGTAAGGCTCATTTTTTTTTTTTTTTTTTTTTTTTTTTTTTTAAGGAGTCGTCTTGCTCTGTTGTTGCCCAGGCTGGGGGGCAGGATTATATATATTATATATATATATAAAATACCACATTTTGTTTCCTCATTTTCAAATTTTTCAGTAAGAATTTAAAAAAAAACACCAATACAATATGCTGTCTTTTAACATGCTAGCCCTCACACGGTAATGCCTAGAATATTGTCCATGAATTTCTCTGGTGTTTGGTGACTTGTTTACTTCCTCAGTGATGTTACACTGTTGTGTTCTGACCTTGTCTGAGTCCTGTCTGTTCTGCTGGCTTGAGAGTGGCATTGACTGAGCCTTGGGATAGGGCTGCTGTTGGTCTGCAGTTATCATGTTCAGACTTTATCTGAGATGCGGTCTTTGGGCCAGATA